TTCCTCTTGATGGAGCCCATCAGCGCCCACACAGTGGAAACGGATGCGGATGCATTTCTTCCATTTTGCCCGCATTTGCTGAATGTCCTTGACTGCCCTGCCGCTTCGTCGAAGTCGCTGCTTTGAAATTACCGAGTATTTTTCGATTGGTCGAAATTCCGGGCAATTCGGAGGATTCATTAGCTTGGGGACAAAATCGATCTTGTTGGCAGCATACCACTACAGAACCACCTTGGCGTAGTGGCAGCTTGCCAAATCGGGCCAAAAGATGACTTTGCCTCTATGCATGCGGATGAACGGCAATACACGCTTCTTCAGGCATTCTTCGATGTAAACTTGTTCCGTTTTCACGCCATAGCTGCAAATCGCTTGCCACATCATGGCCTTCTTCATGAACTTGTCCGCAAACACGAACTTGAATCTTCCCGGCACATCCCCACGTCCAGTCGCGATGTAAAACTATTGACCGGGAAGCTGCTTAAAACCGAGTTTGACGTATGTTTTGTCATCGAACAAAGAACAGCCCTTATGTTTCGTCAAAACATGGTCGTACAAGAGCCTTGCACGCTTTTGACCACGGAATTCTGCTTCATGTGCCGGTTCGGATGTTTACTGGCCTTGTACGACTTCTGGGCGTTGTAACTTCTGGGCACATTTCAGATCAAAAGATCGGGGTTAGCTTTAGCGATATGTATTCATTTATCAGCATTAGTAGTAGAAATGGAACTGTTTGAAGAATTAAACCCAGTCCTTCAAGCGTGAGAGCTTCAGCACGAACCGCTACGTCATCTGAAATATATTAAAGTGAGCTGTTGTCCCGCCTATTGTTGGAGTTTTCTGAGCCAGCTGACTGACTTGAATACGAAACACAACACCTTGATGAATTTTAAGTTGGTGTTTACCCGCTTGGTATTCCATCACACTTGTGGCGCAGTGGTTAGCAATCGTAGATCGCATGCCCGAATTACACGGGTTCGAATTCAGGAAATTACTTTTTATTTTATTTTTATGTTTGGATCATCATTTCATATTTATGTACATTATTGTTACTAATAAAGAATTGCTTCATGTGGCTTAAAAGTTCTGTCGGAACTTTATTTGAACTTTATGGAACTTGAAAGTTCTGTCAGAACATTATTCGAACTTTATGGAACTTGAATGTCCTGTCGGAACTTTATTTGACCTTTATGAAACTTGAAAGTTCTGTCGGAACTTTATTTGAACTTTATGGAACTTGAAGGTTCGGTCGGAACTTTATTTGAACTTTATGGAACTTGGAAGTGATTTTAATCGTTGAATGTGGAACTTTTGGTTACTTGGGCAGTTCGGTGATTTTACACAGTTGTCCTGTAATTTTTCAACGAATATCTGTGAAAAATCCCAGAAAATCTGGGAAAAAATCACCAAACTGTTTACCGACCGTTCAACTGTTGACATTACGGTAAAATTTCACAGATTTCAGTAAAATAATCTCAGTGTGTTCCCTTTGGTACCACGAGCATGTCCAGATGTGCCCAATGTGGTCCTGGTCATTTGATATGACTACTAATGGACTAGTTTTAGAATTTTCATATGATTTGATGTGTCACATGATAGATTTTGGTCCAAGGCAGAAACGGACCAGATTCCCGGGGGCACCCGGAACATGTTCGGATGTAGCCGATGCGGTCCTGGGTACTCAATTTAATATCCATTGACTTTGTTTTCGATTTTTATCATGTGTTTTGAGGTGTCGCATGATGTGCTTCTGATCACGAGATTTTTCACAAACACACATATACATTTTCTGATCTCGTCGAACTGAGTTGATTGGTATACGACACCCGGCCCTCTGGGCCTCGGATTAAAAATAAGTTTTCCAAGCGGTATGAATACCCTTCTGTATAAGAAGAGTAAAACGAAAAAAAAAAACAACGGGAGAACAGCGTGAAAATAACGCCGATAGCGACGTCCATACACTGAGTGGGGCCGCGCCAATAATTTACATTTCATTACGCCAAAAAGCACTCCAACCGTCAGTGTCCAAGCCTAGCTACACGGTTCGCCCGCGCATATTTGCATATCTGCTAGATTTGCATATTGACACATTTTTGCCATCGTCGGGTTGGTAAAGTTATTGAAGGTGTTTGCTAGGGGTGGTCAGCCCCGTATGTACGAACTAAATTATATCCATGAGGGTGAACGTGGCAGGTTCAGCTGTAAAAGAGTTCATTAGAGCACATATATTATTTGAATAATTCCGAATTTGAATTAACTGGTACATAGTATGTGGAAACAGTAACGTAGGAACAAATCAGTACATATTTAAATCTATGGTACAGTCAAATTGTTGCTGAGATTGATTTTATGGTTAATTTGATTTTTTTTCCTTGGTTTATTTTTTCCGTCGATCTTGTTTTCCGTGCTGAGCACCAATGCTACCGACGTGCCAGGAAGGCAGCTCCCACACCTGGACCCTACCTATCGACCCATCAACTCATGAACCGGGGACCAACGGCTTTACTTCCCATCCGAAGGAAGGCGTGATCAGAGATGTTATGCCTCAGAACATCCCGGCGGCGCCGACTGGGATTGAACCCAGGTCTGCTGGGGTGAGAGGCAATCACGCTTACCACTACACCACCGGCGCCGTTAGGTTAATTTGATTGGTTCTGACTCATTTGATAAGGGTGACTCTTTGGTGGGACGCGTACCTTCGAAAACGAACGGACCCGCCAAAAATTCGAAAGTACGCAGTAAGAAACGCACAGTCACCATCACAAGATTGTAAAATTCGCAGTCTTAGTAACAATGTTATAGTTTAACTATATTTATGTTTGTATTACTACTGCATGAAGTTAACGATTTTACATAGTTGAAGATGCCATGTTTCAAATAACAGACTTAAAGTGATCATTTTATACGATACACAGTTCGAAAAAGTAGCGTAAATTTCTGTTCAATATGATGCTCATAAATGGAGCGTCACATATCATATACGTTTACATTATATATCATGTCAAGCTCTGACACATTTCATGCAATCTAGCAAATATTGTATACAAAAGCCCATATTTGTAGACAACATTGTTTACAAGTTGCTTGGTTGCGTGAGATGAAATACAAGTTTACGTGAATGAATGTTTACATCACAATTAAAATTCAGAATTTTTATCTGTGTAGATGAGGAAATGAAAGTATAGAGTTGATAGTTCCGTTAGAGTACGGCAGTGTGAAAATTCCCTAATAAAAATAAACATAAAAGAGAGCTTAACGACGTGTTTGGGGTATCATCTAAACCATTTGTGGGATAGTTTACCTATCCGGGATACAATTTAATATGGTATTTGTTTATCAGGGTTGTATATAGACAGTAGAAAGCGAGGAAGGAGGTCCGAATCGGGATAATCATCTCTCTTTACCAAACTCCCCCGATGGAGAGGGATGGCAAAGGAATTTCTTGCGAGCGGCGCCGGTGGTTAAGCCAATCCTCTGGCACGGCCATTGGTTCTTGAAGCTGTCGTCAGTGATAGCGGTGGCGTTGATGTTGGAATGATTTTAAGCTTCGCTCATACGTTACCCTCATCATGGTTTAGCGATGAGTTCCATCCTTCCGAGTATGACCAACCGATAGGACGGTCGTTTATTCTTGAAGTAACCGTTAACTCACTTTCATGCACTTCTTTCTTATGATTGCGTAGAGCGATTAAACACACCGAGATAACAATTGAAAACACTAATCACTTGATACATTTTCATCAATACCACAACGTTACCATGGCCGTTCAAACAAACGCATAAACGGAGCTGAAACTCTTAATGTTTACATCAGCTGTCAATAACTGAAGTATAATCGAACCAAAGAGCCAAAACAAATCAGCTTCCAGCAAAGTGTTCTTCGATGACTTTTGTGCCACCGGAGTGGGTTTAGCAGGCCTAGGTTCAATCCCAGCCGGTGCCGCCGGGATGTTGTGAGACAGGGAATGGCTTGTTGGTCTCCGGTTCATGAGTTGATGGGTGGATATGTAGGATCCAGCTGTGGGTGTTGCCTCCCTGGCGTCGGTAGCACTGGTACTCAGCACGGAAAACAGGATCGACGGAAAAACAAATCAAGGATGTGGCTAAAATTCATAAGTGGTTCTCATGGAATTTTTACGTTCTTTTGCCACAGTGTAAGAGAGAGTTGACTGACTGTATGAAAAAAAAAATACAAAAGTTGACTAATATTTTGTATAAAAAGATAATTTGATGTACGCCTCAAGGTTATTAACAGCATTGATAGCAATGACCGGTATGTAAACTATTAGCTAAATTTGTAGTTGCTTGTATCTAGGACCTAGATTCTAGGCATATCTTGAGCGATAATTTAATTATCTGAAAAATAAAACTTCCATCCTCCACTGTCATTGGCTCACCCACCCTGACTAAGTACACAAAATTTGCCTGTATAGTGGTTAAATAGAAGTTGCATTATTCCATAGCTTTGACCTTCGTATGTATAAATAAGCTTAGCAAAAAAGCTTAGAATATCCATTGTTCGCCTCAACTTCAACATCCGTGTAATTTCAGCAGAATTGAATGAAATCAATCTATTTCTTTGAATTAATCAACCATACAACGGACTCTGTTTTTCCTCACATTCCACCCAACCATTCAATTCCGGTAACAGAAAGCGAAAATTCAAACACTCCAACACAACATGAGTCGAACAATTTGTCCGGGACATCAAACGCAACATTTGCAAATTACACTCACGTGTCAAAAATGGTACGTAGACATGTCTCTTGGGGATGCCTAGCATTTATTTTCTATGTGCCTATACCATCGCTTGTATCTCTCCGGAGACGTGGAGCAAAGGGTTGATTAATGCTGTCCCATGTTCCTCAACATGTACCAATGGGAGTGGGATGCACATCGATACAACATGGCAAAAACGTGCAAGCCCACAAATTGTTCCCAAGCACCATGTAGAGATATCTTTCATTTGGTTGGAATAATTCACTAATTTCTACTTCGTTTAGGTGCTGATGATTGATGATCGAGGCCGAGGCGGAGGAGTCATCGTGCGGCATGGTAGCAGTGGGGGTCGATTCGGAGAATCCGTTCCCGACTATGACGATGTGAAGGTATGTTCAGAAAATAGCCTTTCTGTTATATTTTTATATAGTTGATCAAAATTGCAATCGTTAAATGGGCCAACGAATCGCTACTAATTGATACGCCAATAACGAACGACACGCGCTGATATTGTTTTTCTGTGTCACCCATTCCACAGGATGACTATTTGGACGACACTGGCATATTTGTGCGGGAAACGAAGTATGGCAGTTCAGCAATCAAAAATATTTTAAAAAATCAAAAAGGTAAACCATTTCCTCTATTAGAAGCATGCAAATGTCATTTGATTTTGATTTAATTGGAACCATCTGTACAAAACAAACAAGTAGTCGGTAGACATCGTACAGTATCTAATCAGTATTTTGATTGAAATGACACAACTGTTGCTGCATGTGAGAGCAATTTCGTTATCTGTAGGTTCGGTAGCTATAGTTCCTAATTAGTACTTTCCTTCGAAATGCACCCCTTTCTTGAAAACAATCCTAGACTCAAAAGTGTCTATTGGCATGACCGTACAATTAGATCCGGCAGAGCAGCGCAATCCTCCGGTGATTCCATGGGGACAGATGCTGCCCTCGAAGACGGAGCAAAGCCTTCCGCAGTATCCGGCCGACATGCGCCCGACCGATGGGTCCTGGGAGATTGTCAACGGAACGCGATACAAATTTTTCGTATTTTCGGCCTACTACGACCGGAGGGATGGCAAATTGGTTCGGATCATCGGAGCCACCAAAACCCGTGGACCGGAAAAGGTGTGGTGTAGGTTTTGGTACCAGACTGGAGTGAACAGCACCAGATATCGATCTGCTTCCGTGATGGCAAGGGTGAAGGTAAGTGAGCAATCGGGTGCGCAGGGCTTTGGAGATGGTAAATCGATTTTCTTGGCAGGTTATTCGAGAGAACTGGAATTTGAAATACAGTGCTTGCTTCATCCTGTGTCCAATACGAGGCCCATTCCCAGAGATTCCGTATGCCGTTAGTGTAGTTAGTAAAATAAAATCTCCACCCGGAAACGTCCTACTGCTCAGAAATACCGATAATGTAAGTATGGGAAACGTTTTCCATTGGTAGACAAATGAGTGCTAATGTGGAGCTTATATTTTTAGGACCCAGATTTCAACAATCGCACATTCAGTAACATCCCAAACAGCATTGGCGTTTGTGTGAAACCGTTGCATTTCAACTACGACCAGGTGAGTAGAGCGATCGGTTATTTATTTCCGCAGCGTGGTGAGGGAAAATCAATCGAAGATTTCAAATACGATCTGTTTGTATTTATTGATGTTTCCTCTCATTTACTAAGCGATAGGATGTTTATCATTGTGGATATCTACTTTACTCCCTTGGCATATTGTATCGTCGACCACTGGGTTGCCTCAGAATATAGTGCAACGGTGAACTATCTCAGTGAAATAGGGGAAAAACATAAACGTCAACTATGTCAGCGCTGGGTCTATTTTGAACCGCTCCGAACCCATTTTTTCGGAGCATCCTTCAGAGTGAACCCCCTTATTGCCACAAAAAACTCTGCAAACAGCTCACCATTTTGCTCATTTCTCCTGGACTATGGCATCCACTCATGTGACACGCTCATTGTCAGTATTATTGAAGCCGATCTTCACATTGATTTTACCAGTGTAGATATTTCACCCTTTGCAACCTTATAACCTTATAGTATAATTGGTAATGCACCCGTGTACTGAATGGGATTTTTGGGTTCCAATCCACCAGTTGCCATTAGTTTTTTTTTATCAAATTGTCTTACACACACACGTGTCTTGCTCATCGTGTATGCTTTGCTTCTCATTATCTTTTTTTCAAAAATAACTTGATTTACATGAGCATGAGCATGAGCATGATTAACCGCCCACGGTTGCTACTCTGTTATTGCCAGACCAGCTGTAATTACACAGAGAACCAATAGACGATGCTTGGGACTAGCAATCATCCTCAATGTGTAAAAACTGGTGATCTCAAACTAGGCAATACCAGCGCCAGCCGCGCCCGAACACAGGTCAAGAAAGGAAGGGGTAGGAATGTGTTGACGTGACACTCGCTTTGATGACTCGCTCTGCACTCCAACGAGGAATCACTGGGATATTGGGTAATAGGGTTGGGTTTGCAGCAAGGTTCGTTTTGGTAAACGATAAGCTGAATTGATGTCCTAACAATCATATAACGCGAAGGAGATTGGGATTGAACCCACGGTCTTCTGTTCAGTAAGCAAAAACGTTTGACACTAGGCAGACGAACTCCTTTTTAATCATCGAGTTGCTGTTATGTTATGCTGTTGTAGTCATGTTAACAAATAAAACAATTGACGAATCTTGAATGTGGATGGGCTTGAGATTAGACTCATGATGTTCTGCTCAGTAAGCAAAACCGGTTGCTCTAAGGCCACCGAGCCCCTCATATCATATTAAAGCGTTACTTAAGTTTTCATAACTATTCAAACCCGGCACCGACGACAACAAAAAGTTTTACAAAATACACGATAAACAAGCGATCTTACCATACATTTTTAATATGAAAGGACCTGGGACCGCGTTTTTCTGCTCAGTATGCAAGCCACTGCAACCGACGATCTTTGAAATACTAAAACTAAAAGCTACGAAAGAGTACTTAGGCCTTCATTAAGATCCACTTTCACGCAACGTTCAATGTTTCGATTTTCTCTTTACGCATGGTTCAGGCAATAAAAACAAGCTATGACGTTCTCGAATTCCACTTGGCATGTAATGAACAACAGAAATACGCGATAATTCATATTTTCAGCGGTTGATGGACTACGACGGCGATTACGACAGCGACTACGACGGCGCCTACGATAACGACAACAGCGAATTTGTAACTTACCATTTGTCTAGGATAAACACCTTTGCCCGGCACCTCCACTGGTTCTTCATGTCCGCTATCTTTCACTGTTTGCAAAATATCTAATAGCAATTACCTTTGTTGTAATACTTCCTGTATTGCCATGGTCATCTGGGAGGAGGGTAGCATCTAGTGCTTTCCTCAGGAACCGTTCACGGCCACCAGCTACCGCCCGTCCAGTCTTGGGCGTATCCAGCGAGACATCCTTCAGCTTACTCACAATCTCCGACACTCTATGCAAATCGCAGGCACTTTTACGCTAGTAACAAAAAAAAACACACCCGTGCAAAGAAACGGATCCAATAAACGTCACTCTCGCGAAAGCACACCCGTCGTCGTCGAACGGCAAAAAAAAGGAAAACAGTTCTAGAATTTTCTTAAGTTTGAGATCCTTGAAATCGGAATATATATAATTTCATTATAAAAAAACTTGAACAATGGGGGAGGTAGCTCATCGATTCTTCCCGTTCGCCTCCTAGCATCGTGCAATAAGGTACCAGGCGATAACCAGGGTAGTCGATCGATAGCTCGATGACGTCATTTCGTTGGCGTCTGCAATGGGAAATTCTCATAGCAGGCGTTGACGATGGGACGTTGTCGAGTTGTTGAATAGCAACTATCGTGGTAACTCACCGATTACCTGTCGATCTGCCAAATTTGGAAAGACGTCTGCATTGAATTGTCTCATATAATAATATTCCGCCCACTATATCACAAGAAATTGCGAGTAGCTGAGTGGAATGGAGATAAGTTAAGCATTGGGTACAGGACCAAGTCTCCCCTGGGTGGTGCCAGAAGATGAGCGCAATAGAATCATCAAGTTGCCATAAGGCACGGAATGAGACTATTGCATGGCTGGGTAGTCAAAGTCTTCCATTCGTTAGTCATTTCAGGTGGATTAGAACAGGTTTAGAGCCGGCGCCGGTGGTGTAGTGGTAAGCGTGACTGCTTTCTAACACCCCGATGGGTCTGGGTTCAATCCCAGCCGAGGTCGGTGGGATTTTTCTGAGGCATAAAAATCTCTGGTCACGTCTTCCTTCGGAAGGGAAGTAAAGCCGTTGGTCCCGGCCCATGTGTGTTGAATGGGTGCGATATCCTACGCAGGTGTGGAAGCTGCCTTCCTGCACATTCGATTGCCATCAATGGATGGCAATCGATGTTCGTCGGTGATTGGCACTAGATTGCGGAACAGAGACCGACGTTAAATAAAGGAAAGAACAGGTTTAGGTTTAGGGTGGGCGTTGGCCAGATTTGGATTTTTCAGATATAATCCTAAATAGGACCTAGATTATTTAATACTCTAGTAACCTCAAGTCCGTGCTCTGTCACAATGTTTCATTGTGATTAATCAACACTCAAAGGGGTAAAATATCAAATTTGGGGTGAATTTGAAAGAAAGGGAACTTGGAGTGTAGAGTGCACTGCCCACTGGACGATTCTGAAGCCTGGCCAAGTGAGTGGGGTATGGGTTTATTTGATTGAACGTCATTTCCAATGTATATATTGATACATCCAAACCATTGGCATTTGAGATAAGACAGAGATAGGATGCGGAGGGCCCGCTTAGGGGAAGCGTAACCCATGTTATGGTTTCCATTGATTAAATAGTTCAGATAGGCTGGAAATGACAGGTTCATAGTGAGAAAATGTACCATATGGGGCCCGTTCACTGATCAAAATCAGATTCACATCGTTCAGACCCTGCCCAAGAATAAGGGGATTGACGATGTCTTGTCAAGTTTTATTTTGAATTTGCGTTTTGCATTTAATACTCAAGTAGTAAATCTCGCGTCCGTGCTTATTCATAACAGTGTGATGTGTCAATACTCACTGGATTATATGTCTTAGACCAGTTCCAGATTAGTTTGCTATTAATATCTTCTGCATCGCAGTTCGCGATAGATTTCTAAATATGGGTTCTCTTTTCCGACCATAATAGCATAGAGGTAACTATAAGACCAGAAGGTCCCGAAGAAACGAGCTTAACTTTTTGGCTCAGCTCTTGTACTATCTTCGGTCCCAAGCTAATCGGTTCACCCCTCGAAACATATGAAAATTCACTAACCCCTCATTTCATCTGTCAAACTTTCATAGCGTATCAAAACAAACATAGTGTAGTACTGGAATTTATACTAGAATGGAGTACGTTAGGCGATTTGCTTGGGACCAATAGGCTAGTCAAGTAGTGAGCCAATTTGAAATCGTTAGTTTCGTATTGATTGTTGATAATAGTGTGAGGGAAGGGGGTGAGTTAAACGTTGCGATATGAGAATAGAGGCAAATAAATAGGGAAGACAACACCATGACCCAAATAAGTAACCAATGCATGCGGCTCACACTTAACTTGTTATATTTCTTTCTTTCTTCCTATCATGTACTAATATTAACTGCCTGAGGACAAATGGGAACACGAGCAGAAGTTCAATAGAGGAAAAGTAGCGAGAAAATTCGAACAAGAAAAGAAAAATTAAACTTGCACCGGCAAGAGGAAGCAGACAGAAAGGATCATGCCGGTTGGAGACAGCCAATGTATACTGGACGAAGCTTGTATCCAGGAAAAGTCGTATGTGCAGGAAACCGTAAGTAGGATAAGAATCGTAAAAGGTGTGTGCTTGCTTGATAAGATCCTAACTTTACTTTAAATACACGGTAGGAATCGAATATCCATTTATGATTAAGGTTTTGCCCAGTGGGAGTGGCAATACTCATTGATGAGTGATTTATCGTACCCATTTATTAGTAACTGTTAGCAGCTAATGATTACAGTCCGCTTTGAGAAGCGTCCGAGAACGGCTGTGTGTTGTTGCTCCGCTGCGTGCTTTTTTTTTTTTTTTTAGAGCTCGGGCTATCTTTGTGCTGCCGTGTAGTTTTTCGGTGCTCGCATTTGAATAGTTTTGTGTCCCGGACGCGATAATTCGATTTAGAATGATTTGTGCTCATGTTTTTCCCCTGTTGCTTTGGTGCCTGGAGTGCTCTCGCTTCCTTTGTTGACGGTGTGACTCGACTGCGCTGATCTATTATTAGGTTTTTGCGGTGTGCATTGCTTTTGTGCACAGAGTGACATGAAGAAGAAAAGTGATATTTAGCTATTGTGTGGTTGGATTCGCTAGAGGAGGAATTGTTTAAAAATGACTAGAGAAAATCAAGCATCGAGAATGCGCTCCCGGATATATTGATTTGGTGAGAACGTTCCAGTTGAAGATTGTTCTCTCTAAAAATCCTTTTTTTTGAATACATTTCATTAATCAAACATTATTATATGCTGGGTTTGGGGGGGGGGGGGGGTTCAGCCTAAGGGTTTCAAAGGATTTGTAGACTG